CATGGTTGATTTTCCTAACTTTAATATTCTAATTGAAGAAACTGAAATCTTAGGTATGGGCCAAATGTGTGTGTTACTTACGTGTAATTTTGGCTTTACCTAAAAATGAACTTTTGGAAAAGCAATGCATTATCATTGACTAACTAGTGGTCTTTTGACAAATGTTGGCTTGTTGAATTCTGCATTTCCCTTCGTGTGCTTTTTTTCTTTTCTCCTGTCTCTTCTCATTCTGTAGATTCAGATCCAGGACATACAAGTGAAAATTGGGGGGAGAGACTTATATCTTCTTACAGGACATACTCAGGTAATTAGATTATTTAGGGGCTCCTGTTTAGCCAGTGGTTTCTATCACATTTAAAATTAATTATTGTACTATAAATAACTTATTTTCAAACCACTATATAAATATCTTTGAATAAGTGAACTACATCATGACACCAGATTTCCCACCTTTTGTTTGAGATAATCAGTACATCACATCCAACTCATGCTATGTATGAACATTATGAGTAGGATTACTGTTTAACTGCCACTTGGCTGTTGTGCAGTACAGCATGGGGCACCATTCACATAGAAAATAATGTGAAAGGCAACCTCTTGTAACAGCCCCCCATGCAAAGATACCCAAGATGCTTAGTCTCTTTTGCTATATACCCTTCATAAAGTATACCAAGTATTTTTTTATAGACAATGTCATGTGACCCTTCAGTTAAGCAGTATTTTTTTAAAATCAGATGTTTTAGAAAATTTTCAAGTTGAACTCTTGAATCTATAGACTTTGCTGCCTATGTTGAAATTAAAAAATGGGTTAAAACACCAGATTTCCTAGAAAAATGTCATTACTATTAGCTGTGTTGGAACCTCTCTATTCAGTTATGGCACCTGGTATTATGCTTCATAATTGCTCCAGATAAAAGAATACAAGAGAATATATACAACACACTTAGTTAACTGTGTTGTCTCTTTTTAATGGACTCACATTCTAATATTTGAATGTTCTTTAATATAAAATGTTACTTAGTCCCTAGGTCTTTAAGTGTCTGCTTTTCAGCATTTGACATTTAGCTATAAAATATGAAATAAACTTTCTGTTTCTGATATACTTTATTTAATAAATTTATAGGGGTGGTATAGAACCAACTAATTATTTTTAAAATTATACTGAAAACTGTTAATTGAGCTGATAAGACAATTTTACTTGATTATCCAAATTTGGGAGTGAGGTCATGTTTATAATCAGCATTACATTTAAAAGACCTTCACTTACTGTGGAATTAGGTGAACTTTTCTAAAATGAGACTCCTAAGTGCCAGGGTGCATCTGAAAGAGCTGTTTGGGATGAAGCCATTCATGACCTGAGTACCTTTGATGGAAATCAAATACTAGTATATAGGCACCTAGCTGTTAGAGATTTGTATAGATAGGTTAGAACCAAAGAGTTATGGCAACATTTTTTCCCTCAGCCTTAAATATACACATTCCAGACATGACTCATGTACTTATGTTCATCTGTATTTGAATTGTTGCCTTACATAGTGGCTGCTTAGTGGAAAAATGCCATATTCTCTAGTTTTTGAGATGCTGGTAAATTTTATCAACCAATTTTCAAAGAAAAACACTTTTTAAAAAAATCCTCACCATAGGATATGTGTTAAGAGAGAGAGGAAGGAGGAGAAAGAGAGAAACATTGATGTAAAAGAGAAACATCAATTAGTTGCCTCCTGTACGCACTCCCACCAAGAATCAAACATGCAACCTTTTAGATGTATGGACAACACTACACCTAACGAAGCCACCCAGGCGAGACCCAAGGAAAACAGTTCTGTCTCTTTTCCTTAATATACTCTATGCTTAATTTGGATGTGACAGTGTTGAACTTTGTTAATTCTGACAAGACCTGAAAAAAAGCATTATTTTTGAGATAATAAGACTGAAACATCTTCATATTTCTAAAGATCATCTCTGAACATTGAAATCAAGAATGTTGGAATTGCTGAAAAGTTTATTTCTCTGTTTTTCTTTAGTCATAAGTAAATCACTTGAATTAAAATATATAAATATAGGGTGGCTGACTGCAATTTCAAGTCTAGTAGACTGTACCTTAAATGAGTACACGTGTCAATATTCCTGTGTTTAAATTTTAAAATTGCCGACTGGTTATTCATACATATAAACATATACTTTAATTACTGAAACTTGAGAAGACAGGTCAAAGGAAACAAGTTCTTCACTAGATCCAAAATAGCCAACGTTTTGTTCAATGCTTTAAACTTGAAAAAGCATACTTAGGGATATGTTAATGTAACACTTTTATAATTTTGAAGACTGGTATATAGTTATCTCTGACTTAACTTTGTACACCTGCTACTCTTTACTTACAATCTTCTTCTAACTCATGTTAAACATAAACTCAGAAAAATGACTAAAGACTCTCAAAGAAAAAAATAGAATTCAGATTGGATGCTAGTATCTAATTCAAAGATTTGCTTGAATATTTGGAGTATATTCAATTTGTGTATTCTTTTTCAAAATGTAGTTTTTAAAACATTGTATTAAAATGCAATAAAAATAAAAATAATCAATTGTTTTGCAAATGAGAAAATAAAAAAGTTTCCCCAAAATTTTTAGAAATTATTTTAAGACCAGATATTATATGTTCTTTATTTTGTTTCCTCCAATCACTAGATTTTACTTACTACCCTTAATATATCTTTTCTACTTTCTAGAAAATTTTCACACTGCAAAATATTTAATTTTTAGGTGAAAATAAAGTATTTTAAAAATAAAATATTTTACAGTGTGAAAATTTTCTAGAAAGTAGAAAAGATATATTAAGAGAAATAATAAGAGAGGACCAAAATGAGCAGAACATTATTAGGAGAAAGTATATCTTTCAGAAACATATAGGCTTCTCTAAAACACCTGTTAAGTACTTTATAAAATATTTAATATTTAGCCAGTAGTTTCTGTCACATTTAAAGTTAATTATTGTACTATAATTAGTACAAAGTTAGATGAAACCTTGCTGAAACTGGATTTATACTAAATTAGATCATTAATGATAATGAAATGAGGAAAATTAAGATAATATATTAAAAATTCAATAAAGACTTAAATCTTGAAAAAATTTAAATATATGTTGTTTTTTATTGATTTTAGAGAGAGGAAGGGAAAGGGAGAGCGAGAAAAATATCAATGATGAGAGATAGTCATTGATCAGTTGCCTCCCACATTAACAGGGCTCAAGCCCACAACCTGGGCCTGGGCCTGGGCCTGGGCCCTGAGCAGGATTCAAACTGTGACCTCCTGGTTCATAGCTTGACGCTCACCCACTGAACCACACCGGCTGGGCTTGAAATTTTATTATAAAAAATCAAATATCAACAAAAGAGCCAACGTAGGAGCTATTGAATTTTGAGTGGTTTGTGGGCAGAGGAGTTTAAATATTAGGAACTCAAATTTCTAGATCATTACAATGCCAGTATATTTTAATTAAGTGGTACACTGCAAGAAGCATTACTTTAAGTTCTATGCTATAAGTAATATTTAATGTTTAATATCAAACTTTTATTGGTTTCTTGAGACTTGCTAGATTAATAAATGCTATCTCCTAGAGTAGTTTAGCTGCTGGCCACACTACTTATGAATAAGCCTTTTCTTCTTCCACTCATTTTTGCTGCTTTTAAGTTTGTTTTTAAATTTTATTTATTTATTTTTGTAGCACCTCTGTAAGGTCCTAAAAGCTGGATCAATAAATCCCAGATAATTTGTATAGGTTTTGCCAAGAAATAGATGCCTCAGTAGTTAATAGGCTGACCATCTGCATTATTTCCTAAAAAATGAAATATATATATATATATATATATATATATATATATATATATATATAATCAGAGAGGAAGGGAGTGGGAGAGAGAGGCAGAAACATCACTGATAAGAGATCATTGATTGGCTGCCTCCTGCATGCCCCATAGTGGGGATCAAACCCACAATAGAGGCATGTGCTTTGACCTGGAATCAAACTGTGACCTCCTGATTCATAGGTCAATGCTCAACCACTAAGCCACACTGGCTGAGCTGCATTAGCTCTTATAGGACCTTCTGAATTAACTCTCAGAAAAGTCCAACAAAAAAGAACAGACATCTGTATCTCTGACCTGTAGAATCCAGTTCCATCTTAATTTTCTCATATTTTAATTATTGGGGAATACTGTTTGTATTGCCAAAGAATTTCCCAAATAGCTAAGTTTAGAACTACCTTAAGACAGATCAAATCGCTTTGAAAAATCTTTAGACATTTTTGAATTTTTGCCAGATCTCTGTTAACCGCCCCCCCCACACACACACACATACAGCGACTCTTTAATTTGTTCATTTTTAACTTTAACATTTCTTGTTCAACTTTCCTATGACTGGAATAAAGTGATTCAGTAGTGTTTTTTAAATCAATAATAGCTCTGTGTGATGAGATTTGTCTCATATACTTATCTTTTTAGAAGATTGTATAAATCAGTAGTGAAATTAGGGAAGTAATCTGAAGGAGCATTGCTATGTTGACTTACCAATAATTAAAAAGTGTAAAATTATAGTGAAAGACAATTTTCAAAGATGTAACACTAAGGAATGTTTGAAATGTTATTGAAGTTAACTTTTAATAGAACAAATCATTAAAATACAAATTTTACTTAGAGTAAATTTCCAGATGTTATTAGTTCTCTGAAAACAATAGAATTAATAACTTTTTTAAAAGCATTTAGGAAGAAAATTGATTGTATAATGTAATAAAAGTGTGGTACTCTTTCATCTCCCTATTGTTGGTTCATACACACGTTTCCATATACATGTATAACATCTATTTTTAAAAAGTCATCTTATGTTTTGCTTTTCTTTTAATCTTTATTGTTGAAAGTATTATAGATGTCCCCCAATTTCCCCCTAGAGTTTTGCTTTTGAGTGCTTACATTTGTTTCAAATACTTATATACTTATTAATAATTCCAGAGAAAGAAGGTCCAGAAAAGAAGAAAACTAAAAAGGAAGCTGGAAATAAGAAGTCCGCACCAGTTAGCATTCTTTTTGGTTATCCACTCTCAGAGCGAAAGCAGATGGCACTTCTTATGCAGATGACAGCAAGAGACAACAGTCCAGGTGAAATTTACCATCACTGCGTTCTTGTTTACTCTTAGTTGTCCTCCAACTCCAGCCTGTCGTAACAGTTATTTTTAGCTACTTTAAATTTTTATTATTCCTAGATTTAGTCAGAATTTCTTGTAACATAAGTTTGTAACTATATTTATTTGTGTGACAATTGTTTGTTGTCTGTATCCTCCACTAGATGAGAAACTACCCAAGAGAAGGGATCTTTGCATTAGTGGACATTCAGTAAATACTTGTCAATTAAAATGAGCAATTTAGAAATTGGTTAGTCAACTTGAGAAATCTGTTGCTGAACTATGTACTTTTATCTCACTGAAAAATTTTTTACCCCCGTTTCTATAAAGTTGCTTCTAGGTTTATAATTTACTTTTCAGTTCACTAGCATCCTGGTAATAAACTAATGATCTTATCATATTATTACTTTTAGAAATAAGAGTTTAATACATGTTTTATTGTTATTTTATTATTTAAGATCTAGGTTATTATAAAAGAAAAAATATCTGCAGTATGTTATGTAAATTTATCTCATTATTTCATTTCACACTTCCAGTTAAGGAAGTGTGTATTTTGTTTTGTTTTATTCAAGTACTGTGCCCCCCAGAAATAATTGAAAATGCCTTACCAGCAGGACCAAAACAAAATGGAACAAACCAAACAACCTGCTAATTTATTAAAAGGAACTCAGATAGGTGGACTGATATAGTTATTACTTTAAGCATTGAATTTTGCTGTGCATTCTGACAGCTAACAACACAAAAGAAAAGTTTTGAGTTTATAATTCTCATTGAGCGATACAAGGAAGTACATCACTTTTGTGTATAGAAAAAAATTATTTTAGCTCTAAATTCAAGGCATCTTTGCATGAGACTTTGGGTAACACCAGACCTTGTTGAAGTACATTGAAAAAGACACAATTTTTTTCCAGCGAACTTTTCCTGTGTTGGCTCTTTAAAAAAAAAACTTAGCATGCTAAAATTTCTAGAGTTTGTATATCAAAGCATGAGTATACCTAATATCTTTCACTAATAAAAATGTTAGAGCTTTTTGCTGTTTTAAAGTAGAATAGGTTTTGGTTATTGTCCCACCTTTCAACCCCTACCTTGGTAAAGAATGTAGTCAAGTTAAAGATTTTTTACAGTGTTAAAACTTGAAATGTTTTTGTAAAATATTGACTTTGAATCAGATATAATAGTTAGATGGAAAGACTTTTAATTTTTAAAACTTATTTTTTATATCATGAACTTCTATCCTTAGAATAAATTAAAGAGCAAATACAATAAGACATTAAGTTAAAGTTCTTCCTTAATAACCTGCTATCTTGAGAGATAATAACTATTAACAATTTCTTCTAGAAATGTACTAGCCATAAGCTTGTAAATATATTATTATCTTTTCTTATAGATTGTTTTTAACTATAAATAAGGTCATTTTTCAAATATTGGTCTGTTATAGGTTGTTTTTATTCAAGGAAATATCTTAGTCAACATTATTAATATATTAGAGGCCTGGTGCATGAATTTGTGCACAGGTGGGGTCCCTCGGCCTGGCCAGTGATTGAGACCTATTGGGGGGCCAGCCAGCCAGGGGGAAGGACCCCAGGGGGGGCCGGCTGGGAGGAGGGCCGTAGGAGGTTGGCCAGTAGGAGGGGTAGGGGGAAAGGGCCATGAGGGATTGGCCAGTCAGCTGGGGGGGAGGGACCACAGGAGGTTGGCTGTAGGAGCACACTGACCACCAGGGGGCAGCTCCTGATTGAACGTCTACTTCCTGGTGGTCAGTGTGTATCATAGCGACTGGTCAATTGGTCGTTCTGATCATTTGATCGTAATGGTTGCTTTGGCTTTTATATAGAGAGAATATAGAATTAGAGTGGAAAGCTTTAGGAATATCAAACTATTTGCCATCAGCATATTGATATACTTAGAGTTTGGGGTTCATTGTTTTATTTGTTTCATAATTAATTTTCCATGTTTTTGTTATGTTTTATCTGTTTGCCATTATGGATAGTATTACTTGTATGTGTGATTACTGTTTTTGCATGGCTAACAATATTTTAATAAATTCCTTGCAAGTTGTGTGAATTAAAAAGTATGTCCTTTTATTTTTAAGAAGTTCAACAATTAGTTTTCTTAATGAACAACTTGACTATAGAAATTGCAATAAAACTCATTTATTCGTTCAACAAATATTGTGTGAGTACCATGTGCCAACGAATCTAAGGTCTCAAGGTTTAGTGATAAATAAGATAGATAAGGTCCTTCCTCTTATGGAGAGTATGTTATAGATATAGATGGGAAATTTATAATAACAAAATGTACCTTAAAAGTCAAAAGGTAAACTTTAATCTTTTTTCTTATTGAGGAAAGAATGATGTTACGTTTGTGCTCTAACTACACTAGAAAATTATTTTCCATGGACTCTTCTCTTAGAGCAGTTGTTTCTTTTAAATAGTTGTAAATTTTAGAATTAATTATTAATGTTATACAATGTCTTAAATCCTTAACTGATTAAGAAACTAGTTTTTGTTTTCTTTTACCCCCCAGTATTTATGAAATGTGGAGGAGAGGACATTGGACATCATCTACTTTACCATTCTTGTTTTTGATAGAGAAACTGAAACAAATCAGAAGATAAGAATCATAGCAAAGCACTTTTTTTTTTTAAAGGCCTTTCCCCAACCTTTCCTATTTCTTATAGTTGTTAAATTTCATTTTCATAGTAAAATCATTCAAGACCTTAGTTTGTACTTAATATCAGAGTACAACTCCAATACTTTGAGTCAAAGGTGTGTCTCTAGTCTTAATGTCTTTTCATCTGGGTCTTAGAATAGTAGCAGTTTTTTCAAAGTATTCATTGAGCAGACACATTTAATATGCATGCCTGATTCTTTATTATTCATTTTAGACCAATTTTATGAATAGATAGAATAAAATATTTTTTCTAAATTGGCTCATGCAATATTTGGTAATCCTAAAGGAAAATCTACTTCATGTATTTGGGTAAAATCCAAGTCAAGTTTTAGATTGTGAGGGTGAGAAGATATTCTTCCTGTTCCAGAAATTAGCACATTTTCTATAAAAGCATTTAAATGAATGTACAAAATATTTAGCCTAGAACTTTTAACTTTCTCCTTTCTTACAGATTCCACACCAAATCATCCATCACAAACAACACCAGCCCAAAAGAAAACTCCCAGTTCCTCATCTCGACAAAAAGATAAAGTTAATAAACGAAATGAACGTGGCGAAACTCCTTTACACATGGCAGCTATTCGAGGAGATGTGAAACAAGTCAAAGAATTAATAAGTTTAGGAGCAAATGTGAATGTGAAAGATTTTGCAGGTAAGACCTATTAAAAAATACTAATTATCAGGAACTAAAATTTAAAATTTAAACAGGTTCTGGATACAATGTAATCTACATTTTTTATCCTTCTTGTTAAAAAAAAAAAAAAAAAAAAAAGAATTCGCTGAAACTGGTTTGGCTCAGTGGATAGAGCCTCGGCCTGCAGACTGAAGGGTCCTGAGTTTGAATCCAGTCAGAGGCATGTACATTGGTTGTGGGCACATCCCCAGTGGGGAGTGTGCAGGAGGCAGCTGATCGATGATTCTCTCTCATCGATGTTTCTAACTCTCTCTCTCCCTCTCTCTTCCTCTCTCTTCCTCTCTGTAAAAAATCAATAAAATATATTTTATTAAAAAAAAAAAATTCTAAAACCACACTTTATTACAGAACTGTTTTGGATTGTGTACATAAAACCCTGATCTTCACAATAATTCCATGTCAATAATTAAATTTATTTTTTAATATTAAATTTATTTTTTAATATTAAATTTATTTTTTAGTTGATAAATTATAAAAATTTTTAAAAATATTATTTAGGTTTTATTTTTAAAAATATTATTTAGGTTTATTCTAGGTGAATTAGAGTTAATAATGTTTTCATAGTAGTTAATTTATAAGTCTTTCAAGATATTAACTTGAACATAAAGGACTGTAAAGAGATGTGGTTTTTTTTTTTTTTTTAATCTTTAGGGTTAGATTTTGGAGACGTGGAGGGAAGAGAAAGGGAGAGGGAGAGGGAGAGGGGGAGGGGGAGAGGGGGATAGGGGGAGAGAGAGAGGGGGGGGGGGAGAGGGGGAGGGAGGGAGAGAATATGAGAGAACACGAACGAACAATAGAACCCTAACCAGGGATCGAACCTACAACCTGGATATGTGCCTTGATTGGGAATCAAACCCAAGACCTTTCGTTGATTGGGTTGATGCTCCAACCAACTGAGCTATACTGATTAGGACAGTGGCATTTTATTTTAATTACTCAAATATATGCATCAGCCTTTAGTTCTACAACCTGCCTTTTTTTACTCAATGTGTTTATCAGTACATATAGTTCTACTTCAATCATTTCAACAACTGTGTGCATTATATGTACAATACTTTAGTGAACACTTGTAGAAATATCTTTGTGTATAGTTATGGTGGAAGGATTGTCAGTATTCCAATTAGAAGAAAAACTGCTGAATCATAGGGAATATATATCCTAAAATATTTGAAATACAGGCACATGACCCTCCAGAAAAATCTTTTTATCAGTTTACCCTACCGTCCAGAGTACTATACAAAGAGCTTTCCCCCACACACACACATATTCACTAAAAGTAGATATTATAGATTTAATTATTAGCACTCTGGCAATTGAAAAAAAAGATCTTTAATTTGGACTTTCTTAGTAATGACAGTGAATATTTCTTGTATTCTGTGAATTGTGAGATCCAGTTCTTTGCCCATTTTTCTTACGTTTGGTAGTATTAATATGTAAGAGCCCTTCATATTAGTGTGCATTTTAATTATTGAATATGTAAAGATTTTTACTTTCTGTGGCCACGTTTGAATTTTCATTACAGTGTTATTGTACTAAAGTTTTTAATATAATCTATGTTATTATTTCCATTTTTGGGTTCTTTGGTATTTTCTGCTCCTAAATCATAAAACCATATCCCTATGTTTTCTTTTTTTCCAAATTTTGTTTGTGTTTTGCTTTTACACATATCCCTACTTAAATACATCTGGAATTTATTTCTCTATTGGGTGTGAATTAGGGGAAGGGTGATATACAATATCAATTTTAAAGAATGAATAACTTGATATCATCTATCGGAAATAAAAAATTTGTACTTTTCCTTTGGTCTAATAATTCACTTTGTAGCATTTATCTTAATTGTATAATTATGAATGTGCATAAAGATTTAGTTATATGAATATTTGTTGCAGCATTGTTTCTAATTTTTAAAAATTAGAAATAATTTAAATGTCCAGCAATAGGAGCTTGTTTAAACAAATTCTGGCATGTTCAATCAGTATAATACTATATTGTAGAAAAGTGACATGCGGGTTATTTTCATTGTAGTAAGTAAAAGAAGCGGGTTAAACAACCTTCCAAGTTTTGTTTTAAAATTATAGATATGAGAGGGATAGAACTAGTAGGATTTACGTGAAATTATTTAAATTATTGTATTTAGGTGTTGGAATTATGGGTAATGCTTATTTTGTGCTTTGTAGATTTTTGTTGCTTTTAAATCCTCACCCTAGGATATTTTTCCATTGATTTTTAGACAGAGGGAATGACAGAAACATCGATGTGAGAGAAACACATCGATTGGTTGCCTCCTGCTTGAGCCCCAACCAGGCCTGGGCCAGGAAGGAACCTGTAACTGAGGCATGTTGCCCTTGACCGGAATCAAACCTGAGACCCTTCAGTCTGCAGGCTGACGCTCTACCTACTGAACCAAACCAGCTAGGGTTATGCTTTATAGTTTCTATGTTTTCTAATTTTTCTTTTATGAACTTTCTTCTAATATGTTTTCTAATTTTTCTTTCATATAACTTTCTTCTAATATAAAAGTAATGAAAATGATAAAGTTGCTCCAGTTTAAATAAATATCAATTTCAGAAAATATTGTATTGACTTAATAGATGAAAGCCATTAAAACAAAGGGGTTTTTGTTTGCTGAATGTAACCTTTCAAGGTTAACTTTTGCCTCATTTTTCTATTTTTTCTATAGTCAGATGATTATAAATTTTAGCAAGTTTATATTTATTGGATAAGTGTAAATGTTTAATATTTTGTCAAATAATTTAGATTTAATGGAAATATCATGAAAGAACTTACTGTAAGATTAGTGATGTTCCCAGGTATTTATTTCTTGTTTGTCACTCCTTTTTCTTTCTGTACTATGTGCATTGAGAATCAATATGTAATACATGCTTATATACATGTAAATATATATACATACATATATGTAATTATATTTATTATAAGGCCAATTCGTAAAATAGCTAGATGTAGTGGTTAAAGTGGATGTTACTTACAATAAAAATTGTAGTGTCATGCTCCCTAACTTTTTTTAGACTTGTTAATATTTAATGATTCCTCTATATATAACATTTATTACTGCATTTTAGTGAACCATATGCTTAAATTAATATCCTAACTTTAGGTTGGACACCACTGCATGAAGCCTGCAATGTTGGGTATTATGATGTTGCTAAGATACTTATAGCAGCTGGAGCTGATGTTAACACACAAGGATTAGATGATGACACTCCACTCCATGATTCTGCTAGTAGTGGGCATAGAGATGTAAGTATGATAGAAAAATCAATAATACTCATTTTCAAAATATAAATTCAACCCAGAGTAATTTTGTTTGCCTCTTAGTCATACACTCTCCTATCATATTTCACTCATTGCCTGATCAGCTCACCTGTATTTTATTTTTCTTTTTATCTGCCTTTGACCTGTTAATTCCTATCATAGTCAGGTTTAGTATTATATTTACATAAAATTTATTTAATTTGATAATTATATAGGTTGGCAAAATTTTATTTCCAGGCCATTTGTCACACAACTAGATACAGTGGTTAAAGTGGATTTTACTTAAAATAAAAATTGTACAGTGTCATACTGCCTATCTTTTTTTAGTTGTTAATATTTAATGATTCCTATATACATAACATTTATGCCTGCATTTTAGCTGATATTACTTATTTAATATATTCAGATGGTTTATTTGTATAATAATAAAAACATGGTATTATACTCAAACATGATTATATGTGCTCACAAATTAATGGTATCTCTAAACATCATGTTTATTAGTTTGCTGTAATATTATGGATCATACTGGGTTTTAAGTTTTACTTGCATTTTCAACCTTTGGCATGTTAATATCAGAGCTAAACCATTCTTGGTGTGGACCACTTTGGGTTCATTTTGTTTGGGACTGTTTGTCCTTCCTGGATTTGTGTGTTTATTTTCCTCACCAGGTTAGGGAAGTTTTCCATCTCTATTTTTCCAAATAGGTTTTCTTTTAAAAATATATATTTTTATTGATTTTAGAAAAGAAGGAAGAGGGAGAGAGAGAGAGAGAAACATCAATGATAAAAGAGAATCATTGATTGGCTGCCTCCTGCACACCCACACTGAGGATTGAGGCCATAACCTAGGTATGTGGCCTGACCATGAATCAAAGCCTGTCCTCCTGGTTTATGGGTTGACACTTAACCACATAGCCACACTGGCAGGTCAGTTCTTTCTCCTTTTTTTCTCCTGTTTTGCTCAGTCCCTTTACTCCCCAAGCCTACTCACCACAGTTCTTCTATGTTTATGAGTCTGTCTCTGTGTTTTGCTTTGTCAGTTCAGTTTGTTCATTAGATCCCACATATGAGTGAAATTATATGGTAAAAGGTAAAATTTTCTTATTTTTTTATGGCCGAGTAGTATTCCATTGTGTAAATGTACCATAGCTGTTTTATCCCATCATCTACTGATGGACACTTGGGCTGCTTCCAAATCTTATCTATGGTAAATAACTGCAATGAATATAGGGGTGCATATGTTCTTTCAAATTAGTGTGAGTTTGATTCGGGTTTCTTTAGATGAATTCTCAGAAGTGGACTTGCTGGGTCATAAAGCATTTTTTTTAAAATTTTTTGCCCTAACTTCGTACAGCTTTCTACAGTGGTTGCATCAGTCTACATTCCCACAACATTGCATGAGATTTCCCTTTTCTGCACATCCTGGACAACACTTGTTGTTTGTTGATTTATTGATGATAGCTATTCTGATAGGTGTGAAGTGATATCTCCTTGTGGTTTCATTTTGCATTTCATAACATTGAGCATCTTTTCGTATGTTTATTGGGCATCCATATCTCCTCTTTGAAGAAGTGTGTATTGAGGTCCTCTGCCCATTTTTTAATTGGATTGTTTTTGGGGTGTTTTCTTTTCTTTCTTCCTTTTTTTTTTTTTTTTTTTTTTTTTTTTTTTTTTTGATGTTGAGTTGTATTAAGTTCTTTATATTTTGGATATTAAGCCCTTATCAGTTGTATTGGCAAGTAATGTGCTCCCATTTAGTGGGCTGTATTTTCATTTTGTTGATGGCTTTCTTTTTTTATGCAAAAACTTTTTAGTTTGATGTACTTCTGTTTATTTTTTTTCTTTTGTTTCTCTTGCCAGAGGAGATATGTCAGGGGGGGAAAAATATTGTCCGAGAAATATCTGAAATTTTACTGCCTGCCTATGTTTTGTTGGATTTTTATGGTTTCAAGTTAAACATTTAAGTTTTAATCCATTTTGAGTTTATTCTTGTGTGTGTTGTAAGAAAGTGATCTAGTTTTATTTTTTTTGCACATAGCTGTCCCATTTTCGCAGCACCATTTATTGAAATCTTTAGCCCATTGTATGTTTTTGCCTCCTTTGTGAAATATTAATTGAATATAAAGGTGTTGGTTTATATCTGGGCTCTCTGTTCTGTTATGTTGATCTATATGTCAGTTCTAGTACTTTTTTGATGGAATCTTTATAGTTCTCTATTTATAGTATCATGTCATCTGCAAATAATGACAGTTTTACTTCTTCCTTTCCAGTTTGGATGTCTTTGTTTCTCCTTCTTATCTGTTTATTGTAATTAGGACTTCTAGTGCTATGTTAAGAGTGATGAAAGCTAGTGCTATGTTAAGAGTGATGAAAGCAGACACCCATCCCTGTCTTATTCCCGATTGAAAGGGGAACACTTGTAGTTCTTGCTTATTGAGTAATTTAGTAGTAATTTTGATAATGCTGTGGGAGGATATGAGTACCATATTTTCCTTTGCTGCCAATCTTGACCAATTCTTAAGATTTTCTTAATAAATTTTTCTTTTTTCTGGCTTATTCTTATGATAAGAATACAGTATGTAACATACAAAATATGTGTTAATTGATCATTATTGGTAAGGCTTCTGATCAGCAATACACTATTAGTAGTCAGGATTTGTGGGCTTCAAAAGTTATACGTGGATTGTCAGCTGTGTAGGGGGTTGGCATTCCTAATTTCTGGACTGTTCAGGGATCAACTGTACATATTCCATGAAGCCAGGGAACTTGTCATTCTTGTTTATAGATTTATCTTCAGAACTTGGAGCAGTGCTTGTTAATAGGTTCTTAATAAATAATTTACTGAATATATGATGAAAAGGGAAGAAACTGATGAGATTCACTGCTAAAATTGCCCAGTTTAAATTTTAAGGAAGAAATTTCTTTTTAGTAAGTAAGATCATCAGATGGGGGAAGGCAATGAAAATGGAACTTGAAGAGAGTAATCATGATTTAGAAGAGACACACTGTAAGGAATGGAGGCAGAATTATGTTATGAATGTTATCAAGGAATAGTTGAAATGACACAAGTATGAAGTAACTAAATCTTCCTACTATTTAATTCAGATAGTGAAACTGTTACTTCGTCATGGTGGAAATCCATTTCAAGCTAATAAACACGGAGAGCGTCCAGTGGATGTCGCAGAAACAGAGGAGTTGGAACTGCTACTAAAAAGAGAGGTGCCTTTATCTGATGATGATGAAAGTTACACAGGTTTGTTTCAGATAATCTATATTCAACTGTTTGTTTGATATAATGTTTAGTAGAACATTTTACTTCTACTTTATAGTACATAAAATGCTTAAATACCTTAGACTAATGCTAGCTAGTTAGTAAGACTGGTGAGTTAATAACCTATTATTTGCTACATGTCCTCTTTGTAAATGGAGTCACGATGCCATTGCCCTATTTTCATGATTTACCCCCCCATAAATTGCTGATATTCATGTCCACTAAAGGGTGGGTCGCCCCTAATCCACCCACTCCACCCCACCCCCGCCACCCTGGTTGCCCCTAACTGCCCTTCCCCCAACCACCACCAGCCTAGTCATCCCTAATAGCCCCCCCTGCAGGCCTGTTCGTCCCACGCAGCCTGCTTGTTCAGTCCTTTGGTTCTCCCTCACTAACCCCTCTGCTAGCTTGGTTGTAGGCAGCCATCTTGTGAGGGTGTGAGGGTTAATTTGCATAATACTTCAATATTATATAGGATATTGAATATAAATTGTAATTTTTTAATTAAAAAATAAAAAAATAATGGAAGAATAAACCAACAACTTATAAACTTGGTTAACTAATAGGAGAAATGGTAAAGGAAGGTATGTGTGAATTGTTACAGTCTTGAAAAACAGTCTGACAACAGCTGGTGAAATACAAGAGCTTTTATTTTTTAAAGATACATATTGAAATATTTCTAGATAAAATAACTTGAATGGGGATATGCTTCACAATGATATAGCAGCAGGATGAATAGAGGATGTGGATTGGCCAAAGATTGATGGCTATTGGAGCTGAATAATGGATACATGGGGGTTTAATATAATATAATATAATATTGTTTACTATGTTCAAAGTTTATTATAAAAACATTTTTAAAGATACTTATGCACCTTGATCTATCAGTCACTTCTGGGAATATCCAGTGTTTATTATAGCACTGTTTTGACTAGAAAAAGCATAAATAGTCAGAGCATTGGTTATATAAATTGATGAATAAAGCCACATGATAGGCTATTGTATAACTATGAAAAAATATATCTTAATGCTATACCAATTACTTGGAAGGATTTTTCATAAGATATTGACTTAAAAAAATTAAGATGAAGAATTATAGTACCTAATTTTGTAACATGAACAGTGTTTTAAAAAGCAATATGTATCGATATGTTCATTTGAGTTCATATATTTGTACAAAATTTTATAAGCATGGGAAAATCCAAAAGAATGTATGTCAGGCTACTAATAAGGCATGTGTTAGGTGGGAGGTGGTGACTGGCAGAGGAAGGGGGTGATTTGGGTGGAAGGAAGGGAGCTGAACACAATCATGTGATATTATTTTTATATTCATAAATATACAACTCAGAATCTTCCCTTACCCTGCATCCCTGTTTATTTAGCACCTTATGCCCTTCCCTTCACAGTGAACCTTCTTAAAGTGCATTGTATTACACTCTGTTGAATCTATGTTTACTAACATCATTATTAACATTAGAGGCCCAGTGCATGAAAAATTCGTGCACTGCAGGGGTTGGGGGGTTGCTCAGTCTAGCCTGCCTCCTCACACAGTCCAGGAGCCCTCAGGGGATGTCCTACTAACAGCTTGGGTCCATTCCTCCTCTGCAGGAGGCAACGGGGCTAATCAGGGGAAGGCGCCGCCCCCATCACCCCGCTGCTGCTGCCACTACCGGCCGCTGGCTCTGCAGGCCCTCCTCGGCCCTTGTAGCCGCTGCAACTTTGTCTGAAAGGATGTCCAGAAGACATTTGGTCTATTTGGTCTAATTAGCCTATTACCCTTTTATTAGTATAGATGTTCTAACTGCCAGATCCCTTAACTGTCTTCTCAGTCTCTATAGAATTTGACAGTGTTGACCATATTCTTCCTAAAATTCTTCTGTCTTGGTTTCTGAGGCATAATTCTCTGGCTTTCTTGTAGCTCTCCAGACTGTTTCTTCTTAGTTTCCTTCTAGAATCTCATCTTCATTTTTCCCCTTACTCCCTTCACATACTCCCTTGTGTTGATTTTTCTAAAGATTTTACTTTCTAGACCCTCTTCTCTTACCACCCACACTTATTCTCCACCCACACTTATATCAATAGTTCTAACTGCCATTTATATGGTGAAGCCTTCCAGATATCTCTTTATTTCATACATTTTTCTTAAGCTTTCAAACCTATATATTTAGCTGCCCCTATGGCTATTACCATTTAAGATTTCCACAGAAATAAGAGTACCTGAATGGAACTTGATTCTCTATTTTACACTCCTCTCTCTTTCTCGTGGTTTTTTTTTTTTTTTTTTTTTTTTTTTTTTCTCTCGGTGGTAACATAAATCAGCTATACTTATGTTATACTAAAGGCCTGGTGCATGAGATTAGTGGGGTTCCCTAAACCCAGCCTGCACGCTCTTGCAGTCAGGAGCCCTTGGGGAATGTCTGACTGATGGCTTAGGCCTGCTTCCTAGCAGTCAGACATCCTTAGCTCTGCCTTGGAGGCAGGAGAGACTCTGGCCACTGCCACTGCACTTGCCAGCAATGAGCCTGGCTTCTGAACATCTGCCCCCTGGTGGTCAGTGTGTGTCACAGTGACCAGTTGTTCCACCGTTCAGTCAATTTGCATATTACCTTTTTATTATATAGGATACTTGATAGTCATCCTAAACTCCTCTTTCTCCTTTTCCTTCAGCTCAATTAGCAACTATTTTTGAGCACCCATTATGTGTTGGGAATTGTTTATGCACTGAGGATACAGCCTATTAAGAAAATGTAGATAATGACATAATCTACTGTCATTCCTACTTTGAAATAATTTATAAATCCATCTAGCAGTGACAAGCTGAAGGTCATTTGAACATCTTTGTGTTGTGTAAAATAAGGATTATGAAATTACATTGGCTTCCATAAAAAGCAAGAAAATAAGATTTAAAAAATAGAAATTTTATGTGGTATGTTAATTTTTACATGTTTTGTGGCTACAAACTCTAATTCTGGTCTCTTTAGAAAGCAGTAGCTATGGAAAGCAGCCTTGTTATAAAACTTTTTTTAAAAAAGAAGGTCTGCAACAGATTTTTCCCATGGAAGAAGAAAGGTGTTTTATTTGGACTTACATATTTAATTAGAGTGGAACACCATCTTCTAGAACCTTTTTATTTTTTTTCCATCTACTTAGATTGTTTCATGTGCTCATTAGCTATATGTTGATTTTTCAGAATATTTATTTTCTACATGGTGAAAGTGCCTGAATTATTGCTTGATCAAAAGTCCTTCAAGGAATGATGCAAAAATCATCAGTAAGTATCTTACAAAGATTTTGGAGTTACTAAAAAAGACTGATGAAAATACCCAAATTTATTGCTTAATTTACATGAGGTCCTTGTTAGACTTAACTTTATCAAACACCATCCAATCTAAATTCAGAATATTTAATAGAGAATTAACTTAACTGCCCACAGATGTTTGTATATAAAGTCTGATAGCATTGTTACCTATCTGATATATCATGTCATCCATGTGACAGATACACTTTAAGTGTTGCAAAGTTAGGAGAATAAGGTCAAGACTATAAATTTCAAAGAAGTTAATACATTTGAAGCAAATAAAAGGGTGTTATATATGTAGTATTTAAGTGTGGTTTATTTCATTAGGCACTGTGCTATGCTTTTATGACAGTGCTACTCAGTAGCTTTTCCACAAACTATTGCTGGTTCTCAGGATAAAGAACTTTTGCCAGAATATAAATGTACTGCTTTCATCAAAAAGAATACTAAAAAAAACAAAACATGTCAGCTGAACTCAGTGTGCTAGTGACATAGTTCCCATCTCTGGTACAAGATCTTATTTCATCATTAATTTGTAGTGAACAATTTGCAGACTGGCCTCAGTTCATGAACCACACTGCCTAGCAGTTTTATGTCGTGCATATCAGACATTTACGCTGTAGTTGCAAGAATACATGTCCTGGTTAATATAGCTTATTTATGTACAAATGTAAGACACTTTTAAATTTGCATAATTCTTTAGTGTTTTCCCCTTTAACTTCTGCCCTTTTCCGTTTCATTTAATATTACATTCCTATACAGGAATTCCATGTAATAATAGTATTTGCTACAAACAATTGCTTCTTGCTATTCTGCTGAGAATTCAGTTATTCAGAGATCATGCTCATAAAGCATAATTATGGTAATAGAGATGAGGATAACTGTATCACGTAGTGTCCTTGCCCATACTTTCAGACATTCATTAATTGGCTGAGTAGAGATTCTGTTAACAAGTTTGCAGACACTGATTTTATTACTTAAACAGAGATCTCGATGGACAATGTTGAAAATGCCAGTCATTGTCATAATTATTAACCTTTTTCTTATCTTACTTTGACTGCTAATAGTCTGGCCTTGTTTATTAAGTAGTTGATATAAACTTACCTTACTTGCATACTTAGACTTAACCTAGAAAATGCTCAAATGCTCCATCATAATAAACAGACAAGCTGCTTCTAGAGTCTACCATAAAATAGATTAGGAAACTTGTGCTTTCTGAGAGCATCTGTGTGTCAAAAAATACACAAAATGACCAGTATTTTGAAGACTTATTTTCTTAATATTAAAACAGTAAGTTGTAACTATTTAAATATATTGTCATATTTACAAATTCACTCCCTCAGTTTTATATTTCAGGAATTATGAAATACAAGTGTTGATGCATGCATATATAGAACTATGACAGTTAATAATTCAAGAGCTCCAAAAAACAATTATTTAAACCAAAATATACCATACATTTTTACTAAATGGATTATGTGATGTTAACAGTTTAACGATGAGGAAAAAGAATCATCACCTTAATAAGTTTTAGAGCAAACTATTTAACCTTAGAAGTATAAAAACTACAGGAAGAAGTTGCATAGGGTGTTTTTAAAGCATTAATATCTATATCATAATTGATCATTAGAAATTTAAACTTGATAGAGCATTTTAATGGAAAAGGAGTTTGAGTACTAGTGTA